TGGGAGAGCGGACAGAGGGAAAGAGAACTGTACGGTCTGAGTTGCTCGGCACATGGGCGTTTGCTATAAAATCCCTGCAACTTCCTGCATGTTTGCCTTTTTCTAATAAAATATCGGGAAAAAACACATGTTCAGATGGAGCCCAGTTGCTCCTCTGGTTCAAGCCTTCCTCGTCACCAGGTAGGTTTTGCAGATACTGCCTGACACGGGCCTGTGCCTGTGCTGAGGGCCCCCCCGGCCGCACCAAGGACCAAGGCCTGCACTGCCCGCCCGCTCCATGCACCCCGGCCTCCACGGCCTGCTCCTCCGCCTGGCGGCTGGCTCTGCCTTGCGGGTCGCTCCGTCTGGGACCGTCTGGACCCGTCGGTCCCCCGCCAGGCCCTCCCTCACACGTCACCTTCTCCTCGTTGGTACTCGCGCCCCAGCCCCTCTCTGTGTTTCTTCCTGGAGCGGATCGTCTTTGCATTTTTACTTGCCTCCTTCAGCATCTTGCATGAGCTCCGTGGACGTAGGGGTTCTAGAGGCTAGAGGCGCAGGGCACGTGTTCCGTATGTGTGTATCGATCGAATTGATGACGATTTCATTAATTGGTTTTCTTAACAAGAAAAACAGGTCGGGCCGGGGTGCAGCAGTGAACGAGGCGGGCCCAGTCCTGCCCTCCTGTTTCTCTCGCACAAGACACAGACTCAGTAATCCTTATGGAGGGCGAGGATTCATCCTGAAGGGGAACAGAACCTGGCCTGGCTGAGCTGGGGAGAACGGGGCGGGTGGGAGAAGGGACACTTGTTCCTCCGAGTGAGGGCTGGTGGGTGGGAAGGCACGGAGGGCAGGGTGGGCGAGTAGAAGGCTGGCCTGCAGGATGGGAGGGAGGAGGTCTGGGGATGGTGCCACCACGGTGGGGAGCAGGGCAGCGCAGGGTTAGCCCGCAGTTTGGGCGGAAGCAGGGGTGGTGTGAGGCCGATCAGAGTGAGCTGGGGAGAGGCTGCAAGGTGAATGCAGACCTGGAGGGCATCTCGGTGGCTCAGTTTTGTTTTTGTGTGTCTGGCGCTGGTGGGAGAGGTTGGCAGACAGGATGAGTGTGGAGCCGGGCTGGCCTTGGCCACATGCAGGCCAGGTCTGCCGAGGGGTTGTCTCTAGGTAATGGCCAGGGTCAGGGTCTAAGCAGTGGGAGGCCAGGCCGTGTGTCCCGGGAGGGAGCTGGATGTGGAGCAGGGACCCCTGCGGTGGCTGGAGCATCGCCACGCCCAGCGGTTGAATTCCCTCCAGTGGTGGAGGCCTGGGGCAGGCGGAGTGGGGAGTGCACTGAGGCTGTGGCTTTACCACCAGGCGTGATGGAGAGACACAGGGTGAGGGGGGCCAGCATGCGAATATGGGGGCGGCAGGGGTGGGTTGCAGGACTTCCTCGGGGGGTCGGGGGACTGAGTGGACTGACGTGGGCGAGGTCAGAGAATGGGAGAGGATGCACTGCGTGAGCTGGGGCATGTGATGCGGGAGGGCTGGTGTCCAGAGGGGCCAGACAGGCGCAGCAGCGGCACCTGCGCCGCCCCGAAATGCAGAGGCGGCATACAAGGGCAGAGCCAGCCTCCCCGCGGCAGGACTCAAGGCTGGTAGGTGACCGTCAGCGGGGCGGGGAGCCCAGGAGCCCCTGGAAGCAAGGGTTCTGTGAGAGGCTATGGAGGGCTGTGGGCCGCTCACGGCACTGGGCGGGTGGCCGGCTGCTCTCCGCGGCGCGAGGGCTGGTGCTCAGTGCAGGCGGCGGCAGGCCTGGCTTTGGGGGCGGGGGTGGTTGGTTTGCAGTGAGGATCACGGCACCGAGGGGCTTTCTTGCCCCACGTGTTCGGGGACGTGTGGTATCCAGGCGCCGTGCCGAGTGCCGCTGCTGCAGGGGACCCCGGGCCCGCCTCTGGCAGGTGGTCCTTGTTGTGAGGGAGTGGGAGCCGCCGTGGTCTGGGGCAGAGTGGCACCCTCTCCTCTCCAGGGCCGAGCCACTCGGGCCCCAGCCTTGGCGTCCCGGCACCCGGCGTTGTGGGAAATGAGGACTTTGGATTTCTAGCGTGTTTGTCTACTTAGAACTCGCAGTTTATTTCTCGTTTTTCCCCTTGTCTTTAGTGGAATCAACTACGACAAACCCCTGCCTCCTATTCAGGTCGCATCCCTCCGGGCGGAGCGCATCGCCAAGGAAAAAAAGGTGTGTGTGGTACAGCGGGTGGCGGGAGGGCCACGGGGGGGGGCCAGGGGCCGGGGGCCAGGGGTACACCCCCCAGGCCAGCTCCTCCACACGGCTCCATTCCCTCCTGCCCCGCAGGCACTGGCCGACCAGCAGAAGGCGCAGCAGCCGCCTGTGGCACAGCCGCCACCGCCACCGCCACCGCCGCAGCCGCAGCCACCGCCACCGCAGCAGCCGCCCCCGCCGCTGCCCCAGCCCCCGTCGGCCGGCAGCCAGCAGCCTGCGGGGCCGCCCGCCGTCCAGCCCCAGGCCCAGGCGCAGCCCCCGGCGCAGCCCACGCCGCCTCCGCCGAAGGTGCCCCCTGCGATCACGACGGTGGGCAGCGCTGCAGTGCTGGTGAGAAGGCACACAGAGCAGTCGGCTCCAGCACGCCCCTGTCCAGGGTCCTGCAGCTTCCAGCTCGCGGACCCTCCTCCCAGAGGAAGTGGGAGGCCAGCCCAGTCTCCCCCAGTCTCCCCTTCAAGGAAGCGCGTGCCTCGCCCCGTCTCTCCCGTGCTGGGTCAGCTCTGCCCTCTGGGCTGGGTTAACTGGGCAGCGATGTGGGAGACGAGGCCATTCTTCTAGGTGGAGGTGAGCGGGAGGTGTGGAGTTAGGGTTTTGTGAAGCGTGAAGAGGTCACCCTGTCTTGTCCCTCCAGACTCGAAGAGCAGGTACTGTTAGTGCAGGCTTCCCTCTCCCCACCCTGCCCCACTTTCCCTCAGAGCTGTGCACGTGCGTGTGCATCTTCAGTGCCCGTGAGAGGAAGGTGGTGAAGTGCATTTAGAAAGGCAGCGTGTCTATCTCACGCACCCTGTGCTGTCGCCGCCGTGCCCTGCCGCGTTGCCTCTCTGTGTGTGCCTGGTGTGTGCCGCGTGTGTGCCTGGTGACACATTCGAGTCCCACGGGGGGGGAAGCGCTGCTGCCCGGCGCGGGGCGGTCTTGTTGTACGGGGTCACTTCCACCCCGTGTTCTTTGTCACATTTGCTGCAGTGGCATTCGATGTGCGCTTGGCAGCTCCGTCCTTCGTTGTTCAGAAAACTAAGCACCTGCCTGGTGTGAGGGCTGCTGCTCCCTGCCCAGGAGAACAGTGGTGGGTGGTCAGGAAGAGATCTTCTGCAGGGCTGACTCCTGGGCTGTGGCCAAGTGACATTAGTCAGTGAGAAAAGAATGGAAAACAGCTAGCACAGGGGCCCTGAACTTGGCAGACGTGGGGCTCAGAAGGGTCAGTGTGGCCGGAGCCTGGTGACCGAGGGACAGACTCAGCACTGTGGGAGGGGGTGGGGGGAGGGGCCGAGTGACCGTGACCAAGAGTTTGGATTTGATCCTGAGGAGCGGGGAAGGCTTTGGAGTGTTTACACAGGGCAGAGCTGGACCTGAAATTCAAATGGTTTTCTTTTTTCAGCAGGCAGGAGCCATCAAGACATCCGTCACAGGGACAAGCATGCCCACGGGTAAGGAGTCACGGGTGAGATGCCGTGACGGGAGGCGAGTTCTCTCCTGTCCTCCTACCTCGTGTCCTCTCCCCGCAGGCACAGTGAGCGGAAATGTGATCGTGAACACCATCGCCGGCGTGCCCGCTGCCACCTTCCAGTCCATTAACAAGCGCCTCGCTTCACCCGTGGCACCTGGAGCCTTGACTGTGAGTTGTCCCTGATCCTGGGTGCTTTTGGTGGCATGCGTGACCCAGGACGCTGCAGTAGCTGTTGGCTTCTTAAAAAAAATTCCATTCCATTGGTACAGAAAGTCCCGATCTAGTTTGCGTTTCATAAAATACCGAGGACATTGAGGGGTGCAGAGGATGGTTTCCACGTGTGCTTTCTGGGAGAGAGTGTGTTGAAATCCCCCTCCGTGGTTCCAGGAGGAGGGAGGGGTGCAAGGGCACGTCTCCAGCTCCACGGACAGGGTGCCCACGTGCCGTAGCGGCAGGTTTGCCCATGTGTGTGGACGTGGCGCTATTGCACAGCGGGGCACAAGGCGGGGCAGTGTGTTTATGGGTGTCTAGGCCAATGCGTGGGAAGCAGGAAGGGGCCAGATGTGGGCAGAGGGAGAGACGCAGAACCACAAGACCTCTGAGCATGTAACCAGAAGGAGACAGGGCGCTCACCTGGACACACCTGCTGTCTGTGGTGTCACCGTAGAAAACAAAAATAAATGACGGAAATAAAGTTTAAATTTACATCCTGAGTTCCAGTTTAGTCACAGATCTAAAGACAACACGTGCCCTGAGTGAGAAGCTGCTTCAAAGTCAGCAGTGCTTTGGCAAATAGAGTGAGGTCCCTGTTGGGTTCTGAGGAATGTGTTTCCTGTGAAGTGGTGGTTGGTAGTGAACTAGACAGTGTGGTTTTGGGAAAAGGATGGACACATAGATCCATGGAGTAGGATAGAGAGTCCAGAAATAGACCCACATGTACATAGTTGATTAACTTTTACTAAGAGTGCCGGGAGGGACTCTTAGTGCAGGGAGGGACTTCCCTGGTGGCGCAGTGGTTAAGAATCCGCCTGCCAATGCAGGGGACACTGGTTCGAGCCCCAGTCCGGAAAGATCCCACGTGCCGCAGAGCAACTAAGCCCGTGCACCACAACTACTGAGCCTGTGCTCTAGAGCCCGTGAGCCACAGCTACTGAGCCCACGTGCCACAGCTACTGAGCCTGCGCCCCTAGCGCCCGTGCTCCCCAACAAGAGAAGCCATCGCAATGAGAAGCCCGCGCACCGCAACGAAGAGTAGTAGCCCCCGCTCACCGCAACTAGAGAAAGCCCGCACGCAGCAATGAAGACCCAGCACAGCCTTTAATTAATTAATTAAAAATAGAGAGGAGAACTCCTTAAAAAAAAAAAGAGGGGCTTCCCTGGTGGCGCAGTGGTTAAGAATCCGCCTGCCAATGCAGGGGACACGGGTTTGAGCCCTGGTCCGGGAAGATCCCACATTGCCGCGGAGCAACTAAGCCCGTGTGCCACCACTCACTACTGAAGCCCGCGCGCCTAGAGCCCACGCTCCGCAACAAGAGAAGCCACCGCAACAAGGAGCCTGCGCACTGCGCACGAAGAGCAGCCCCCGCTCCCTGCGACTAGAGAAAGCCCATGCACAGCAATGAAGACCTAATGCAGCCAAAAATAAATAAAATTTTAAAAGAACAAAAAAAGAGTGCCGAGGGATTTCAATGGAGAAAGGGCAGTCTTTTCAACAGATGGTGCTGGAGGAACTTGGGAACCGTTCAAAGCCAAATGAACTTTGAACTGTTACTAATACTGTATATGAAAAGTCACTCAAAGTGGATCATGGGCCCAAAGGTAAAACCCAAAACTATAAAATTTCTAGAAAAAAACATAGAACATCTTTGCTTGGTTTTAGGCAAAGATTTCCTAGGATACCAAAAGCCTACAAATTATGAACAAAAATAAATGAGGCTTCATCAAATCAAGAACTCTGTTCTTTGGAAGATATTGTTAATAAAATGAAAAGCAAGGCATGGAGAATATTTGAAGAACACATCTGATCAAAGGCTGGTACTTAGGTTATACAGAGGTGTTTTCAATCAATAATAAGAAAACAAACAACTTTTAAAAGTGGACAACAAAATTTTTTTGGATGGACAAAAGACTTGAGCGTTTACTTCACCATGGAAGATACATATGGAGATACACACACACACCATATGAATAGCAAGTAAATAGGCAAAGATGTTCAACATCGTGAGTCATTAGGGAGATGTAAATTAAAGCTACAGTGATCTGCTACTGGTACACATCTCTGAGAATGGCTTTAAGAAAAGAAAAACCTGGCAGTATCAAATGCTGGTGAGGATGCAGAGCAACTGGAATCCTCATTGCTGATGGGAATGCAGAACGTTAGCAGTCAGTCTGGAAAACAGTTTATTTCTTAGAAAATTAAACGTACACCTACTCTCCAACCTATCAGTTCCACTCCTAGGTTTTCTCCCAAGAGAAATGAAAACACGTCTGCACAAAAAAACCTGAGCATGAATGTGTTTAGTGGCTGTGTTCATAATTACGACATAAGGGAACAGCCCAAATGTCCTTAAGCAGGTGAGCAGAAGGGAAGATGGTGTACCCGTCCCATCTGGCACTGCCCAGCGGTGCAGGAGACTGCTGGCACGTGCGGCTGCACGGCAGATCTCAGTGGCATTGTGCTGGCTGATAGGAGTTTTGAAAGCCTTCATATGTGTGTGATTCCATTTAAACCACATGGAAAAGGCAAGGCTTTACGGACAGAAAGCAGAATATGTTCTGTATCTATCTGGTGGCTACTCGGCCTCATACATTTATAAAAATTCGTAGAACTGTATTCCTGGAACAGGTGAATTTTACTGTATGTGAGTTACACCGCAGTAAATTGGGTTTAAAAAATTAGAATACTCTAAGCAGTAGAGTAAATATGAAAACAGTTTTTCTAGAATGTGACTTCGGATTATTTCATTTACTTTTCTTGCTGCTTTGTGATAAAGCACTTTAGACTCAGCCACGTCACTGAATACAGAAGCTGTTAGTTATGCTTGTGGCATTAGGATCATCTCCTATGGCCAGTGTCACTAACTTCTGTGAGGGTGGCGAGCCCAAATCATTGCACTTGGCATTTATTTTGAAAAGACCTATTTCTGTAGTCATATTTTTAAAAGATAAAGCAATTTATCCACAATGTATTTTTTGAACGGCTCTTACAGACAAGATACTCTCCCTGGTGATGTGGGGCTAGAAGTAGGACTCAAACACACGGCTTGCTTCCATGGGGTTCTTACAGTCCGTCCTGTGGCCGCACCTAAAAGAGGTACAGATAACAGGGAGGTTTTCTGGAGAAGGGAGCATTGGGCTTCCACAGAATAGGAAGATGTCATCCACGAAAACGGCTCTTTGGAAGGCAGGGCAAGTCGTACGAGCAAAGGTTCATTGGTGGGAAAGTGAAGGGTGTATATTGGGCACAGCAAGCGGTTCTGTTTGGACGGAGCACAAGATGCATTAGCAGAGAAGTGGTAGTTCCCACAGCCTCTCACGGGCTCTTGAGCGGCTGCGCGTGCTTGGTCTTGTGTGACAGTGAGCCTAGGCTGTCATGGTGTTTGGATTTCAGGCTGAAGATGTGGATTCCATTCACAAGGCGATGGGGAGCCCTTGAAAATCTTTGAGCAGAGGTGTGTTTTAGGGAAATTCATGTGATGTTTTATGTGTAGAGTAGATTATTGCAGAAAAGGTTAGAGAGAAAGCTATTTCAGTAGTGTGGGAAAGGACTTCTGTTTCTGGTGATAAGGTGAGTTAAGTTATTTATACCCCTCTCCTAATGAAAAGAACTGAAATTATTGGATAAACTTTTAAAATATCCTCTTCAAAATTTCAAGGAGCTGACAAAAGAGTAAATAATTATTGGGCCAAAATCTAAGGGAAGAGGCAACCCAGAGAGAGAGATACACAGGGTGCCCTTGTGTCTGCCTTGGAGTACACTTTACCTTCTCAGACATGGGGACCCCCGTTCAAGCCCAAGGCTCGACTCACCCAGGTGGAGAGTCTAAAAGGAGGCATTGATGCCTTGAGACAGGCCCCCAGATGGCTAAGCCCTTAGGGCAGGGTGAACCGGAAGTAAAATCCATCATGCTGAGCAGAGGGTGGGGCGGGGGCTCTTCCTGTGGAGCTCTAGCCCCAAGTCAGCTGTCAGTTTGCAGCTCACGTTGATGGCTCCCCAAAAGGGCTCCCAGAGCCCCTCAAATCATGTGACGTAGACCTGGGTGAGCAGTGTTCTGGGTAAGTGGCCAGAATCAAATGCAGATTTTCTGGAGGAATGTGCCTTCATCCTGGACTTCTTAGAATGTCCACAATGATTTCCAAGTATAATGAGCCGCATATAATGGAAGATGACCAGACACACACGGAAAGAAGAGGCACAGTGAGCGAGAGCCAGCAGACACTGGGCAGATCCTTAAAGGCTTGGGATGGTGCGGTTATCAGGCATAGATGTTAAAACGGTTATACTTTCTATTTTAAAGAAAGAAAAGAGAAGCTTGCGAATGTCTGTAAAAACCAGGAAACTACACTTAAAAGAATATAGAGAACTTCAAGAAAGGAAAAATATGGTTACCAGCACTGAAAACTAAATGTCTTATAATCGGGCTTAATATCACTTTCCACACAGCTGAAGAGAGAGTTAGTGAACTGGAAGATAAATCAGAAGTTATCCTGAATGCAACACAGGGAGGCAGCAGATGGAAGTACGGAAGAGAATTTAAAGCCACAGAAGATTGAGTGAGAGGATGTAATCAGAGGTTAATCTCAGAGTTCCAGGCAGAGAGAAAGTTGAGCAGAGATAGTACGTGAAGATGTAAGAGTTTCCCAGAACTGATTGATGACACTGATCCATATACATCAAAGCTCAGCTAATCCTGGTCAGGGATGATGAAAGGGACTCCACGCTTACATAATGCCAACGACAAGGAGGTCTTCAAAGCAGCCTGGAAAAATCAGGTTGCCTTCAGAGGTACAGCTCCTTACTTCTCAGCGGTGGTAATGAAGCCAGGAACCAGCTCCTGGAATGGAATGACATCTTCATTGTAGTCAGAGAATATAACTGCCAGCCCTGAAAATACCTTGAAGGACAAACATTTCCAAACAAAGCCTAAGAGAATTCCCTGTAGATCTCGACTAAATGAACTAATTGAGGTGAAAACGGACTTTACAAACTGCAGTAACTTACTGTAGGGTCAACAAAGGCAGACATCACACACACGGTACAATGACGTGAGCAGGGCTAAGGATGTTGATGAAACGTTCCAGAATCCCTTTATTGTTCAGGAAAAGTGTGAAATTATGGATTAGACTTTTATTAAGTTCTTGATATAATTTTTAGACAAGCCACCAAAAGAATAAGAATAGAGTATAACTTCCAAACTTTGGGAGGGGAAAGTGGGATGAGAAGAAAGTAATGTGCAGGAAGGCAAGAAAGATGATTAAAAGAATACAGAACAGGGCTTCCCTGGTGGCGCAGTGGTTGGGAGTCCGCCTGCCGATGCAAGGGACGCGGGTTCGTGCCCCGGTCCGGGAGGATCCCGCATGCTGTGGAGCAGCTGGGCCCGTGGGCCTGCGCGTCTGGAGCCTGTGCTCCGCGACGGGAAGGGCTACAGCAGTGAAAGGCCAGCGTACCGCAAAAAAACAAAACAAAACAAAAAAGTACGGAACAGGTGAGTTGAATAGAAAGCACAGAATAAGATACTGGATTTGGATTCAAATATGTAGGTAATGAAATGTAAGATTAGGGACAGACTGAACAGGAAAACATAATGACCGTCTGCACCAAGGGGACCAGCAGGGGCCAGCGTCACGTTTCAGGGTGCTTTCAGAGGCGGACTTGGTGGAGCTGGGCCCAGTCCGCTGAGGGGCTGCGGCGGCCGTGGTGCCAAGGGACGAGGACACAGCGAGGCCAAGTCGAGACGCCGCGCAGATCCAGGGCTGCAGCCTCCGCACCTGCCTGGGGATGGCCGTGGGGGGTTAGGGGACTGTATGTTTCCAGGGGATAAACACGGGCATCTGGATGGTTCCTGGGACCAAAAGGTCTTTTGAGTGAGGACAGCGGGACGGGGACGGGCAGTGTTTTAGACTGGGGGCAGCAGCGTCGTGATCTTCCCTTCTGCGAGCGACCCATCCACGCTAGCCCTAGGCACAGGCTTTGAGTTCACAAGGGAAACAGTCTCATAGCAATCTAAGGCCAGAATCTGGAATGTGCTTCGTTTTCTAGGATTTAGCGTTTGGTGCCCTTTTCTCTTCACCCGACGACTGTAAAGAGTCTTGAATGTTGCGCAGCAGCCTGACAGTTTTCTTCTCTTCGCCTTTTCCAGACCTCGGGAGGCTCTGCTCCTGCCCAGGTGGTCCACACCCAGCCTCGAGCAGTTGGGTCCCCTGCCACGGCCACGTCCGACATGGTGTCCCTGGCACCGACTCAGGGTGTTCGAGCAGTCACCTCGGTGACTGCCTCGGCTGTGGTCACTACCAGCCTGACCCCGGTGCAGACCCCGACCCGGTCTTTGGTGACTCAAGTGTCCCAAGGTAAAGGCAGGGTTGGTTTCCTGTGTGGCCTGTCCCGCTCTTCAGGACCCTCAGGGCTCAGGCTTGCACGCGTGTGCGGGGCCGCAGTCTCACTAGGCGACCTCTTCAGCCACAGGGGTCCAGCTTCCAGGGAAAACCATCACGCCCGCGCACTTCCAGCTCCTGCGGCAGCAGCAGCAGCAGCAGCAGGCCTCGCAGGTGCAAGTCCCGCAGATCCAGGGCCAGGCCCAGGCGCCGGCACAGATCAAGGCGGTGGGCAAGTTGACACCGGTGAGCGTCCTCTAGAAAACCAAACGCACGCACTGTGTGATGATGCCTTGGTGTGCCATGTGGTTCAGAGTGTGTTTTGCGCAGTCTGCCATCGTCTTTATGTGGGAAGTGTGTTTGTGTTGTCTTTAGAAATCACTTTGCACACAGGGCCGCTTCCATGATCACGTGACCAGCTTGTTCACAGCTCTCTGAGGCCTTAATCCCCGTTTCTGGATGGATCTTCCCACTCGCTTGCTTGTGCTCTGTGCTCAGGCTCTGTGCTCTTTTCCCAACCTGAGAAAATGTCAGTGAAAAGTATTCCTCGACAGCTTTAAGAGACGAGGTGGTGGAGCTTGGCTTCCTGAGGAGTAGCTCACGTGCGGTGTCGTTTCTCTCATGTGGGTGCTGATGCCCCTGAATCTTGCCAGTCTGTGCACCACCTGTGCTGTCACATAAGTAAACACGTTCATTTTAAAAGGAAATGCTATATTCCTGCCACAAGTGGAAAAGCATTAGTACTCAACACAGAAAGTAACCAGAAAAAGGTGTAATAAAAGCAAGATGGTACTTCAGAATTCCAGCTCGCTGTCGGGCCTGCCACAGTAAGTACCTGACCTCGGGCCTGCCCCTTGCGGGTGACAGAGGGGACGAGGGCGCTGGAGGGCGGTGAGGACGTGCGAGTACCAGCTGAGACTTCTTCGTCCCGGAGGCGCCCGAATGCGTGCCGGAGAAACGAGGCGTTCCGTCCTCCATCACACCAGCCACAGCTCAAGGGTGCAAGGCCACACATGGCTGTGCCCGCCACATTGGACAGCCCAGCTCCAGAACGTGTCCGTCGCCGCCGAAGCTGGCGGCCAGCAGACAGCGCTGAGTTAGGGTCGCCCCGCCCGGCAGAGGCGAGCTGTCAGAGCTGGTCTCCGCCGCTCCCGCCCCCACAGCCTTTCCTTCCCACCCCACCCCCAGCCCTGCCCGGCTCCTCGCGCTCTAAGGTGGCGGGGCCTTCAGTTGGCCCTGCTCCCCTCTTGCAGTTGCTCAGAGTCCCACGCACCGGCTTGCTTGCCTGGTTCTGTTACTCCCTTCCCTTCCCTCTCCTAAACCAGTGGCAAAGTCCTTTTCTTTTTCAGCACTTTGAACGAGATCGGACGGTCGTGAATAACTCAGTATAAATTTCCTTAAAACATTTTTATCTCCTGAAATATTTCCTGAGCTATCTTTATCTTGATATTTTGACTTCTTTTAAAGACATGGGTTTATTTACCAATTAAACTTTCATTTGGAGACAGTTGGAGTACAAAACTTAGAGCTCATGCTTATAGTACGTTGTAAGACTTCAAGAGGGACTACAATTTTAAGACTTAACGAATTTTTGGTGGTACCGCAGATTTGAATCGCCTTTTGCCCGTAAGCGATAAGAATCCAGGAATTTTGCTATAATGCATTTGCTAATCTGTGAGAACCACTGTTGCTAGTTTTCATCAGTGGTAGAAGGGAACATTTTAAAAATGTTGGCAAGGCCTGGAGGATGGTTTGCATACTGCACGTCAGCAACTGTTTACTTCGACATTGAACGGGTAGTAAAACAGTAACTTAAAACCAAGATATATACGAAATGGAATACGGTTGACGTTGATGAAAAGATTACTTTATCTGGGTTTTAGGAACACCTGATCAAAATGCAGAAGCAGAAACTGCAGCTGCCCCAGCAGGCGCCCCCAGCACAGGCCCCGCCGGGGCCCCCGCAGCCAACGGCACAAGTGCAGGTGCAGCCCCCGCAGCCCACGCAGCAGCAGAGCCCCCAGCTCACCACGGTCACGGCCCCGAGGCCCGGCGCCCTGCTCACGGGCACCACCGTGGCCAACCTCCAGGTGGCCCGGCTCGTAAGTTCCGGTCGATACGCTTGTTTTTCCAGAGCAGCGTCTTCTTACGTTTTAACTGAATCGTTGTTGCTCGCTCAGGTCCTTGCAGGTATTATGGCGGAGTGACAAGTAAAGGCACGGTCGTTCCCCCAGGAACTTAAGTTCTCCTCGGAGAGGGCGAAACAGCACGTGGGAGACATTTACACAGTCACGCTTTCCAGAATGTCGGTGTCGCAGAGCTTATGGTGGCCTGAGAGGCTGGGGGGGGGGGGGGGGGCGG